AAAGAGAGAGAGAAAGTCAGAAAACAAGCCTCCAGGTCTGGGACCAGAACCACAGTTGGCCATGTGGGAGTCCAGGGTCCTTAACTACCATGCCACCTGCCAGCCCCAATACATGTACATTATTATATTTTATATGTGTGAATAGGATCTTGTGTGTTATGTGTCAGTTTTGAAATCATGTTTCATTGGTGACCTTTTTCTTCAATACATTTTACACAAAAGACACTCAGAAAATGGAGAAAATATAACCTTACTGACTTCAATACCTAATAAAGCATTCCAAATAAATAGGAAAACCCACGATCCTTTATAGTTTTCTCAGTTCTCCTGAAAATGTGCAGCTCTTATATATTTCTATTTTAATAGGTTGCAGGGCTAAATCAAGAGAAGAATCCAGGGGGACCAGCAGTTAGCATAATGGCTGTCACTGGACTCCCATGTAGTCGACCGCAGTTTGAGTCCCAGACCCGGTAGCTTAAACTCACGCCAGGTGCGTGTGTGTGTGCCCAAGATCCCAAGAGGAGAACGGAGGAGAAGGGATTGTGGCATGGCCATCTGCCCTGGGGGGTGATTTCTCGCTTTCTGTCTCTCTGGCGAGTGCACGTGCCCTATAGCAATAAAAAAAAAAAAAAAGGAAGACAAATCTACCGATGTCTTAGATGTGGTGCTGAGTCGGTCTAATAAAAGTGCACAGGAGCTCAAGAAGACTTGAATAAATGGGTAGACATTGCACGTTCCTGGATCAGAAGACTTAATATAGTTAGGGTGGCAGTTGCTCACATTGGTGTAAAGATTTAGTACAGTCCTTATCAAAGCCCCAGCTGGCATTTTTTTTTTTTTTCTGCAGAAATTGACAGGCTGTTCTTGCAATGTATACACAAATTCGAGAGATCCAGAATAGCCAAAATAATCTTAGCAAAGAGCAAAGCTGGGGGACTGTCATGCCTCCTGATTTCAAAACTTACTCCAGAGCTGCAGTGACCAAGACAGTGCGCTGGTGGCATAGGACAGGCATGCAGGGAGCGGACTGAGACTGGGTCGGCAGCTAAGCCTATATGTCTGTAGGGTATGATTGTTTTAAGTATCGTTTAACCTTCTTTCTTTAAACTTGACCAGAGAGAGAGAGAGACAGACAGACAGACAGACAGGAAGGGAGAGAGGGAAGGAGGGAGAAGAAAAGTGAGAAAGCAAGCCACCAGGTTTGGGACTCGAACCATAGTTAGCTATGTGGGAGTCTAGCGCCCTTAACCACCACGCCACCTGCTGGCCCTGTCATGATTTTTGACAAGGTTGCCTAGACCATTCACTAGGAGAAAGAATATAAATGATTCTGAGACAGCTAGCTTGCCACATGCAAAAGAATGAGAAAAGTATCTCAAAATGGATCAAAGATTTCTATTTAAGAGCAGGAACTCAAAAAAAAAAAAAGAGAGAGAGAAAGAAAACACTTGGGCACACGTGCACACACGCCCTAAATCTGAAGGGATGGAGGGACGAAGAGATGGCAGCACAACCTCAGCCCATTGTGGGGGTCCTTTCTCTCCCTCCAGCTCTCTGGTGAGCACGACCCCTCTGACAAATAAATAAATAAATCCACTTAGAAAGCACACATAGGCGCGTAGCGGTAATCGCTTCTTGGACTGGAGTTCAACCGAGGTTACAGCATGAAGCCTTGGAAGGGATACAGGCACGGGAAATGAGTGTCTATCCCTGGATTCTGAAAACAGGTAGGTCAGAAATCTGATCTCCAGTAGATTGTACTAATACTGTAACTGAGATGTGAGGGCCACAGCCACGGTCAGCCGCTCAGGAGTCCCGGGTTTGGTTCCTGGGCCAACCCGAACATGCTCAGCGTGATTGCACATGCTGTGCGCTAGCTAATTAGGAATCCAGGGCAGGAAGATCACAGCGTGGCAGGACCTAGTCAGAAATACGCATCTCTGTCTCTCCTCCCACACCCTCTCCTTCATAAGAGGATAAAAAGAAAGGGACTAGGACAGAACACATTTATGGCTGCAGCATGGATGAGTCAGGGATTTACTGGCACTCAGCTGGAGAGATTGGTTGGGAGTATATCACGGAGAACCTTCTGGAACTGTCGAGGCAGTGGTCATCAGGTGGTCACCTAATACACTCACTGGAGGTTTGAAACAGGATGGCCAACTTCCTGAGCCGTGGAGGACAGCGTCCTTCGTCAGATGTGTGTGGGCTGCAGGTTGCACTCGAACACCTCTGGTTCCTCCAGCACAGTTGCGTGCACTTTCTGCATGGGATGCAACTGCTCCTTTAGCCCGGATCCATGCAACTAAAAACCAGCTGCACACAGAAAGAGTGGAACTGCCATTAGGAATGGTTCTGCTGCTTCTTTGGCTCTTAGTGATTTTCTTGGAAAATTACTATAAGAATTCTTATTTTTCAGAGTATTTTTCTTTTTGCTTTTAGTTTCTTATCATCACAGTCCTGTCATGGCAGATCGCTTTTGTTTGGAGACATTGTTAGTCAATATTTCCAGTAGATAATATTTCTGGGAAAAGTTGGCTCTCACTTTGCATGCAAGTGTTCATCCTTAAGAATTAGACAAATAGAACCAGGCACTTCCTCTGTTCTCTCTTCGCTGATAACGACTTGTCTTGGCCTACAGCCACTTTATTCACCTCTCACCAACTCACACCCTCACCACCTGCATAATCAGGCAGTGTTCTCAAAACCTGATTTAACAGAGTCAGAAATACAGCAGGATATTTTAGACACTTAAAGTAGTACAGTTCACTTAAGTCTTAAAAATGTACATATGGAGTGTGTGCGTCACTCACATGGGTACAAATACTCAGAAGAGAATCTCAAAGATGAGCATGAGATGTCACAGAAGTCACCGACTTGGGAACCAGCAATTCGCGTAATGGCTATGTCGCTGGACTCCCATGTAGTCGACCGTGGTTCGCGTCCCGGACCCGGTGGCTTAAAACTCACGCCAGGCGCGTGTGCGTGCATGCCCAGGATCCTGAGAGGAGAATGGAGGACAAGGGATTGCGGCGTGACCATCTCCCCTGGGGGGTGATTTCTCGCTTTCTGTCTCTATGTCTCTCTCTGTCTGGCTGGCGAGCACACGCGCCCTATAGTGAAAAACCTCTCAAAAAAAAAAAAAAAGAAGTCACCGACTTGTCCCAGTGAACAAGCCCAAACAGCACAGTGCAGCGTGGCAGGTCAGAGGTGCTCAGGGAGCACCAGTGAGAAGTCTCCCCCTGGCCTTGTGGAGATGCCGTGTCCCTCACACCCTCTGCACCTTCTGGTGGCTGTAATGCTTGCCTCCCTGACTCCTGTACCTGGGAAGTCTGTAACCTGCTGTAAAGGCATGCTCCTTATACTAATTTTTCATTTTTCCTTCTTAATTTTATTGAAAAATACAATTTTGTTAACATTATTAATACAGAATTTTTTGAAAGTTTATTCCATATTTGACAAGGGTGTCAAGACATTGAGACCCTTGTCAGAGAGAGAGAGAGAGACGAGGGCCTCTGACAGGGCCACGCTGTGTTCTTCCCCTAGCCTTCCAGCCAGCTAGGCTCACAGTGTACTGGAATGTTCAGCTCAACTGGGGGATTCAAACCTGGGGCCTTCCCATGTGGCTTCCCTGTCACTCAGTGCACCTTTCCACTTGTGCCACCATGGCTAGGTCTAATGTGAGGTTTTCTTAACGCTTTATACCCTGATTTTTATTTTTAAAAGATTTCAGCAGTTCGGATACTGTGGGAAATGGTCATTCCTAGACACTCTGCTGATCAGTCTACCTAGTTGTGCCCCGTAAATGTTAAAGTAAGGCCTGCATTCACCAAATCCCAGCGCCCACTGTATGCAGGACCCTTAGACGTGAGAATTGAGCTAAGTGTCGCCCTTTCCTAGGGACTCGTGTTCTAGCCGGGGAGACAGCCATGCACACAGCCATCTTCCGCGGGTTGTGATCGTGCCCCTTAGAAGTCTAGCAGAACAGCGGGGAGGTCAGGAAAACGAGCAATGAACCGATTCCTGGAAACTCAGAAGAGGTGACTTTGCAGCGAGCTGTTAGGCTAAGGGAATGGCATGGGCAGAGATGCACAGTCGAGATAGCGTTCGTGTAGGAGGGTGTGAGCAGTCTAGGCTGGACTGACCGGGCCTAGATGTGGGACAGAGGCGATGGAGGAAACGGAGATCTGCAGGGTGGCTCGGTGGCAGTTCGAGAGTCTTAAAAGCCGTGTTTAAGGAATTTGGCCGTCATTCAGTGGACAGGCTTGGCTCAAAGATTCTTGAGCCATGTCAGCCCATAGCATAGCACTGTGCCTCGAGGTCCAGGTCCCACACAGATGACCATGGTTCAGATCCAGGTCCCAGCAGTTTGAATAACATGCCATATGCACGTGGGCCCCAAATCCTGATGGAAGGAGAAACGGAGGGGAAAGTATTGCAGTGTGACCGTGCCCCGTGAGGGGGGTCTCGGTCTCTTGGTTGGTCTCTCTCTGTCTGGCATGCACATACGTGCCTCTGGTCATTTATATGTTTGTTTATTATTTTTTTTAATCTTTTGAGCCAAAGAAGCCATTTATCTTTCTTTTCTTTTTTTTAAGAATTATTTCATTTTTGGGACCAGCATATGGCATAATGGTTATTTTGCTTTACTTCCATGTTGTCAACCACGGTTTGAGTCCCGGACCTGGTGACTTAAAACTCACACCAGGCACGTGTGTGTGTGCCTAAAGTCTTGAGAGGAAAATGGAGAAGGGCTTGCAGCGTGGCCATCCTCCCCCCCAGGGGGGGGTGATTTCTTGCTTTCCACTTTCTATCTCTGTCTCTCCAGAGAGCACACATGCCCTATAGCAAAAATCTCTCTTAAAAATAAGAATTATTTAATTTCGGGACCAGCAGATGGCGTAATGGTTACGTTGCTAAACTCCCCCACAGTCGACTATGGTTCAAGTCCTGGACCCAGGGACTTAAAACTCATGCCAGGCATATGTGTGTGTGTGTGGCCAAGATCCTGAGAGGAGAATGGAGGAGAAGGGATTGCAGCGTGGCCATTCCCCCTGGGGGTGATCCCTCACTTACTGTTGCTCTGTCTCTCCGATGAGCACATGTGCCCTATGGCAAAAATCTCCCTTAAAAACAAAATTTAATGTTATCTTTATTGGTTTTGTAGAGCTTTTTTTACTTAGGGTGCATGCCCTCACTGGGGAGGGAGCGAGAGTGCAACAGTGAGAGGGAAAGTGAGGAATCACCGCCCATGGGAGATGGCCACACCACAGTCCCTTCTCCTCCTGGGATTTTGGTACACATGCACAGAGCATGAGTTTCGAGCCACCGGTCCCGAGCTCAAACCGCCGTCGGCTATGCAGAAGTCCAGTGACATAACCACTATGCCATCCGCGTGCCCTATTATTGTTATTTTTAATTTGCTCTAGGGCACGTGCACTAACTAGAGAGACAGAAAAAGAGAGGAAGCAAGCTGCCAGGTCCAGACTTGAGCCATGGTCGGCCATGTGGGAGTCCAGTGCCTCAACCACCGCGCCACCTGCTGGCTCCAGCCTTTTATATTTCAGTAATAACACTTAGGCAGGGATTTAGAGGATGGATTAGATTGCAGGCAGGGAGACTAGCTTTTACTAAGCCCAAACAAACCTAACTTGAGTCTAAAGACGATGTAGGGGAAGGATTTAATTCAAGAGACTATTTGTGTTGTTTCTTGAGTTTTTGTGTTTTTTTTGGGGGGGGGTCTAATTTGCTGGAGGACCCAAAGAGACAGAGAAAGTGAGAAAGCAACCCCCCGTAGGGGAGAGTCACGCCACACCCCTTCTTCTCCAGTTCCTTTTTCATGATTTTGGGCATGTATACACATGTTCCTGGGTATGGGACTCGAACCATGCAATTGCCCATATGAGAGCCAGCCTCCATAACCACCACACCACTGATTGGCCCCAAGAGCTGTTTTAGCTGCAGTGGCCCCTTTCTGCCCGGTCCTCAGACATCCCCAGCAGGTCCTTTCTCGGGGCGTTGCTCCGGCTTCCCTCGGGCGTTTCTGTGATTGGCGTCTCTTCAGCGCTCCAGTATCATTTCCTCCGAGTCTCCCTCCACAGGTGCCTGTTCATCAAGTCGGTCTGTCCGATATCACAGTAATTACGGGTCACCCCACAGTTCTGTGAAATGAAAAACGGGTTTTTTGGTTTATTTTTTTGAAGAGTTTTGTTTTGTTTTGTTTTGTTTTGTTTTGTTTTGCTAGAGGGCGCGTGCGCTCACCAGATAGAAAGAGACAGAGAGACAGAAAGTGCGAAATCACCCCAGGGGGCATGGCCATGCCTCAATCCCTTCTCTTCCGTTCTCCTCTCGGGATCTTGCGCACACACGCACACGCGCCCAGCATGAGTTTAAGCTGCTGGGCCCAGGATGCGAACCGCGGCCGACTACATGGGAGTCCAGCGACAGCCATTACACTAACTGCTGGTCCCATTGTTTTTGGTTTGTTTTTTGTTTTGTTTTGTTTTTGTTTTTTTTTTTAAAGAAAAGAGTGCCTGCTCAGTACGTAGAACATATTTTAAAGCTTTAGGAGTGGGTTTGATTAGACGGGAGGAGAGGGAAGTGGAAAGAATCTTTGGAGATAGCTACCTTCACGGATTCAGTGGAGGATAGCAGAAAGCGGGGGGCTGAGGAGCTGATTCCAGCAATGTTCCAGGATTTGCAGCAGGAGTGAGCCCTGGAAAGGGCCCTGGGTGGCGTTGGTAACTTCAGACAGGTTCGTATGTACCAAGCAGATGATGGGAGGCGGATTCCTGTTTAAGCTGTGCCCTACAGGAGACTCCTGGGCCTGTGCCCTCACCTCTGACGTGTATTGCTCTCCTTTAGCAGGAGTAAGTGATGAGTTAGTCAAATTCCCAGACCCGTATCTGACACGTGTCGCTACTGCTTATCATCATTGTTACTGTCGTGTTTTGCTCTCTCGTAGATCTGCGACTTTGGCCTGGCCCGTGTTGCAGACCCAGACCATGATCACACAGGGTTCCTGACAGAGTACGTAGCCACACGTTGGTACAGGGCTCCGGAAATCATGTTGAATTCCAAGGTAAGGACTGCACTTGCATAAAAAGGAAACAAGGAAGTAAGGGGACTTCCCAAAAATCTCTGCTTGAATAGAGGCACAGCCTGTCTGGCCACAGCGAGGCGCTGTCCTAATCTCCTTGTTCAGCACTGAACTTGTGGGCCCCGAGTCGTGCTGAGCTGCAGCAGAGCGGGCTCGTGTACCTTTCCGGTCAGTTACTAGGGCCGGGGCACGTCCCGCCTCGTGGTAGCCGTCCTGAAGTCCTGCCTGTGCCGCTCACACCTGCTGCTGCCCCTGCTAGGTGCAGACGGACTTTGTGTCAGAGTTACCCAGTGCGTCTCCCTGGTAACACAGACCAAGGCTGCCTGCAAAGGTTCGATTTACCTGCTAGTGAAGAGTGTCTCGTCAGCAAAATTACCGTATAATTTGTTGTACTTGAAGAAACAGAAGCTATAGAAAGAAACTCCTAGTTGCTGTGGATTCTTTTGAAATGACATGATAGTTCTCCAAATGAAGTGCCTTCATCTGCTCTCTGAGAGGCTTTGCAGAGTGCGTCCAGGTCACATCCAGACTACTAACAGGGTCTGTGTCCTGGCCAGAAGAAATGATTGGTCATATTTATAAAAGCAAGAAAAAGTGAAGCATGACATCCCTGTTAGGATTATGAGCCAAGAGGCAAAAATTAAGAGCTACTGAGGAAATGGGGACTCAGTATTTTTATTTATTTATTTATTTAATTTTTTTATTTACTTATTCATTTTTTTGGAAAGGTTTTTGCTGTGGGGTGCATGCGTTCACCTGAAAGACAGAGAGAGACAGACAAAAATCACTCCCTGAGGGGATGGCCACACCGCAATCCCCTCTCCTCCATTCTTTTCTTGGGATCTTGGGCATGCACGCACATGTGCCCGGCGTGAGTTTAAGTCACCAGGTCCAGGACTCGAACCACGATCAACTACATGGGAGTTCAGCAATGTAGCCATTATGCTAACTGCTGGTCCCTGGAGAGGTTTTTGCTGTAGGGCACACGTGCTCACCAGGAGGACAGAGAGAGACAGAGAGCAAGAAATCATCCCCCCGGAGGGATTTCAATGCCTCAATCCCTTCTCCTCCATTCTCCTCTCGGGATCTTGGGCACGCACGCGCACACGCCCAGCGTGAGTTTAAGCCATCGGGTCCGGGACTTGAACCACGGTCAACTATGTGGGAGTCCTGTGACATAGCCATTATGCCAACTGCTGGTCTCTTTATTTATTAATTTTTTAATAAAGAATTATTTTCTTTAACTTTATCCCTTTATTTATTTGTTTTAATTTGACCAGAGAGGGAGGGAGTGAGAGAGGAAGAGAAAGTGAGAAAGCAAGCCACTAGGTCCAAGACTTGAACTGCAGTTGGCCATGTGGGAGGCCAGCACCCTTAACCACCATGCCACCTGCCAGCCCTGAGAGTCAGTATTTTTAATAGACCATTTGCAAATTGCATATGAATAAAGTGTCCAAATTGGGTAAGTGAGCCTGACGTACTACCTACATCTAATATCTCAAGGTTATGAGATTCTTAAACACAATTCCATCTGCTGAAGTACATTAAGATACATGAAGAAAGGAACAAAAATAGACATTGGACCTCCTGTCTGTGGCTCAGGAACCAAAAATAGTCCTGAGGAGCTTAGCAAAGATGAAAGGAACAGGTCTAATTAGCTTGAAGGCTTCATTCTCTCTCCATCCTTTATAAGTGGTGAAAAGCTGTTAGTTTGCTTTTGTGAAAAGACGAGATTGGTTTAAAGTAGTTACTCTTGATATCCTGCATTTGTTCAGTTTAGCTATGAAAGTAAAAACCCATTAAAGTAAATTTTATTATAAAGAGGGATTTCGTGTTAACAGATGATTCAAAGAAGAAAATGCTGTATTGATTCTCCTGTAATTCTGTATTACAAATAACCCCACATGACAGACTTCCTGTGACTGGCCGCGTGGCAGCCACCCCGATGAGTGTGCGTGTGCACGCCAGCTGTGAAGGAAGGCCGTTGCTTGTCCGTCCTGGAGATGTCTCGGACTTGCAGCCGCCGTTCCAACCTGAGATGCCTCTGCCATCTTCACTTCCCCAGTCGCTCCCAGGACGCTGCAGCCCATCCGGGTGGGCCGGTGTTTGAGGTGCCCAGCACTCTCCTCTGCTAAGTAGTTGCAGAGTTTCTGTAGCGAAAACAAGATGTTTTTTTTCTTGGTAGCACCTAGACTGAGAATATCATTTTGGGGCCAGCAGGTGGTATGGTGGTTAAGGCCCAGATCCCGAATGGCCAACTCAGCAGTTCGCATCCCAGACCCAGTGGCTTGAAAACCATGCTGGGTGAATAATGGAGAAGGGATTGTGGTATGGCCTCCCCCAGGGGGTGATCTCTCACTTTTCTAATTGTGTCAGTCTCTGGCAAGTGTGCATGCCCTATGGCAAAAATCTTAGCGCACACACACACATGTGTGTGTGCATGGATGTATATTTCTAGCAGTGTATTCATACTAGCAGTGTATTCATATTTTATTTTCTTAATTTTGAAAATTTTCAAATCCACAAAAAATTGAGAGTACAGTAAACACCTGTGTACCCCTTACCTCGAACCACGAGCTGTTCACACATGCTCTTCCTTAGCCCTCATCCCCTCTCTTTCTCGTGTCCTCCCCTGCTCCTCGAGCGTCTGACTTGTCAGCAACATAAAGCACCATTTTACTTCTAGGCCCTTTGGGGCCTGCTGACCTTCCTAATAGGGGTGTCTTTCCCAGAGCCACAGTTCCCTGAGCATCCTGAAGAGGTTAGAATCCATGCCGTGACATCCCACTTGTCCGTCCCAAAAGTCTTTTGTTTTGCTTTCGGTCTGGGACCTAATCAGCAGCCCTCCTGCCCTCCTTTCTTTAAGACATCAAGTGCTTTGCACGGGACAGCCGGGTTAGTGCTCAGAGCGGTTCACCTCTGCATCTCTGCACCTCATCCTCTCAGGTGTAGGTCACGTGTGTCCCCACGTTTCCCTGCAGGCACCTCAGGCTCCTGGGGACCCGGTCTCTGCACTGTTTCCCACTGCCCGTGGCCAGTGGCTTCAGGACAACTGAGGCCCATCGCACCTGCCCTTCCTGTATCAGGGTTATGAAATGGCTCTTTGCTGAGTATAGTCTTCCTCTTACCTTTATTAGCAGCGCTAATCTATAAAATAGTTTTCTTTTTTCCCCCTTTCTCTTCCTCTCTCACCCTTGTTTTTAAAGCTATTCTGGGCCTCATTTTTTTTTTTTAATGTGCTGTCCATTATCTTTCTAATTCATATTGCCCCAGCTTTGGCAAACTAGAGTACTATGTGTATGTGTGTTGGTAACATTACATTTTGAAAGAATTTCAACTTTCAGAGAAATTTCAACCAAAATGTAAGGTATTTGTTCTTAACCTTCTGGCCACAGGACCCCTTTATTTTAATTTTAATTTTTTTAATTTGTAAGAGGGCATATACGCTTGCCAGAGAGAGATACAGGAGTTGGGAAGATGAGAAAGCACCCCCCATGGGGGGATCAGCCATGGCGGGATCCAGCTGCGTTAACTACCACACCACAAGCTAGCCCGAGATCCTTTTAACTCTCTTTAACAATTATCAAGGACCTTTAAGCAGATTCTATTTATATGGGTTGTATCTATCATCATTTACAGTATATAAATTAAATGAAATTTTGAAAATGTATTAATTTATTTTTAAAAAATTAGCCCCGTTATAGGGACCAGCAGTTGGTGTAATGGCTATGTCGCTGGACTCCCATGTAATCGACTGCAGTTCGAGTCCAGGACCCAGTGACTTAAATGCACGCCAGGCGCTTGTGTATGCGTGCCCAGGATCCTGAGAGGAGCATGGAGGAGAAGGGATTGTGGCGTGGCCATCCCCTGTGGGGAGTGATTTCTTGCTTTCTCTCTCTGTCTGGCGAGCGCACATGCCCTATAGCAAAAACCTCCAAAAAAATTAAAAATTAGCCCAGTTATGTTAACATAAATTAGATCTTCTTATAAGAATGTGTTTATTTTCCACAAGATAAACATGTTAGTGAGAAGAGTGGCATTTTTTACATTTGTGTGTATCTCTTTAACTCAGCCTTAGCTGGTGGCTGGGTTCTCATCCACTTCTGCATTCAGGCAGATACATTGTTTGGTTTAAGTTGGAGAAGAAGTCTTCACACAGAGAAGTAGTTGGTAGAGGGGGCGGATTTGGCACTCTTCACAGCGACTTGGGACTCTTCTTTGATACTACACCCAGACGCAGTGAGTGGTAATTGCAGTGTGGAATCTGAAGTCATGTCAGCAAGTTCTCATGCTGTTTTACTGACATCCATTGGCCTACCCCGTGCTCATACCTAGGCACGGCTCTAACCTCACACATTCGGAAGCCACCATCTCTCTCGAATTATACAGATAGCCCCCCTGTAGCCATTTACATACGTCGGTCGTGTCACACAGCCGTGCAGTTCTTGCACACTTGTGGGAGAACGAGAGGGGTGAGAGGACGTCTCAGTAGTATAGTGAGTACAGTGGCCACTCGGATCCCCGTAGGGAGCCCACGGGGGTCTCTCTACCACCCTCACAGAACCGCCGGGTACCCTTTCCCCAGAGTCACGCTCACCAACTCGTTCTCTCTTGATGTGTGCACGCTTATGTTTTCTGAGTCATTGGAGAGTAGTGAGTTGTAACTGGAGGTTGTAAATGCTTCCGCGTGTGTTCCTGGGGACATGTGGTGGTGGAGTCATTGGGGCTGTCACAGTGGGGGTTAGCGGGTGTGCTCCTGGCCTTGGATGAGTCGAGGCCAGAGGTGTGACTAGCCGTCCCAGGGATTCAGCCCCCACAGCGGCTCATCAGTGATACAAGGTTACAGACCGCCCCTGAGCAGAGGTGTTCTTTACCATGAATTTCTGTAACCCTGTCATTCCTGTGTTTTAATTCTCTCCATTTATGTACTCAGTTGTGTGTAACTCGTTTCTACCATTATGTATTTGGATTCCCAAATCGTCCCAGGTTTGGCAAGTGGGAGTCCCAGGTGACAGTTGCTCACTGGCGTTGGGCACATCCTTGCTTTCTGGCACCAGGCACCCTGGTCTCACCTTGCACTTTCCCTGCCCCAGACTTCCAGCGTCTGTTTCCCTCGGAAGTTCTGATGCTGCTCTTTATTTGTTGTGAATTTTCAGTATTTCTCTCTATTTAGCTTTGGCAGGAAGCAAAAATTAGTTTGAATAAGAGTCTGAAAAAGAATTATTTTAAAATTCAACCTCATTTTATCTTACCTATAGATCTCATCACTGACTTTGATTTTCCAAAAGATTTTACTTTGTTTCCTTCATTTTTATTTTTTTTTAATAGTGATTTTTGCTATAGGGTGTGTGCTCGCCAGAGGTAGAGAGACAGAAAGTGAGAAATCACCCCCTAGGGAATGGCCGTGCTGCGGTTCTCCTCCATTCTCCTCCTCGGGTTTTGGCCATGCACGCACATAGCCCAGCGTGAATTTTAAGCTGCCAGGGCTGAGCCTCAAACTACGGTTGAGGATGTGGGAGTCCAGCGACATAACCATTATGCCATCTGCTGGTTCCCTGTTCCCTTACAGTTAAATACTGACTGATTTTTTTCCTGGCTGTTTCCACATTTCTTCTTCCATTTATCACTGTACCTAATATTGTCCATAAAAATTAACTTATGTTCCAGGAGAAATATTATCTTTGCACTGTTATGATTTAGACAGGATTTCTCTGTGACTTCTAATAATTCCTTTAAAAGAAAATTTATACCTGAAAAATAAATAGAAAAGGGAAGATCGAAATACTGAAAAATTGGGTTTGGTAAAATACGTTGGAGCCAGCACAGGATTTTGGTGTGGAAGGGGAAAGGACAGCGATCGAGGTTTTTCACCTTCACTTTTTGAAACTGGCCCGCAAGATGGATGAAGATATTCTGGAACTCGAGCAGCGCCTCTCCTTTTAAGTTGATTTCCTAGGATGAGCAGACAGACCCCAAATGTTCTAAAGCAATGCGTGTTGCCAGTTTTTCCTTTTTTCAGCTCAGCTTATATGAATTCTAAATCTCAAACCATTTGATTTTTATAGGACTGAAGTATATTTCTACAATTCGGATTTAATAATAAGTTCGTAGACTTTGAAGAGAAATGAAATCAAGTCATCTTGATTGTTCAGCCTCTCCTAAGAAAGCTAAATTATTGCTAGTTTTCCATGCTGTGTCGTGTATTTCTGAACTGTAGAGTCCGAGGAGAGGCCCCGCTCCCTGCCCCGCAGGAAGGCCCCCTCTCAGCAGCAGCACCGCAGGCCGGCCCTCTCTCCCTCTCTCCCGCAGGGCTACACCAAGTCCATCGACATCTGGTCCGTGGGCTGCATCCTGGCAGAGATGCTCTCGAACAGACCCATCTTCCCCGGGAAGCACTACCTCGACCAGCTGAACCACATTCTCGGTAAGGTTCCCAGCACTTGGGGCTACGTTACTCATTCTGCCTGCCCACAGTAACATCGGTATCAGTTCATTAAATTAAGAATAGTTCTAACCGTTCTTTAACATATGGGAGACAAGTTTGTTTTTGTGTGTTTTTTTTTCCTTGTATGAGAGAAACAGAGGTGCTGCACTCAGCAGAGTCTCCCCACACCACAATCCTTCCCCTACCTCCCAGCTGGATGGGGTCACGGGCAAGTGTGGGCACCCCTGATATTTTCAGTTCGACTGAGATCTAAACCGCAGCCTCCCGTGGCTCCAGTGTCATGCAGGTGGTGCCCTACCATCTCTGCCACTGGGACTGCCCCAACATGAGCTTTTAACTTGCCCTAATTCAAACATGTTCAGGACCTTTGTGTTCAGACTAGCTAAGAAAGGTACGCTTTGGGAGGTAGCGAGAAGACGTTAATTACCATGCTCCATTCTTCCCCACAGCGGAGTGTATAGTGACTCGCCTTGGTATTAATAGTTAATGGTAATTATTTTATCTGATAGGTATCCTTGGATCCCCATCACAGGAAGACCTGAATTGTATTATAAACTTAAAAGCTAGAAACTATTTGCTCTCTCTTCCACACAAAAATAAGGTTCCATGGAACAGGCTGTTTCCAAACGCCGACTCCAAAGGTAAATACCGTCTCATGGGTGATGTTCTGTTAGGCTCCGCCTTGTGTGTATGTACTTGTTAAAGCGTTAGGTCTCTAACCTAGGGGGTTGGCCTGCGGTCGGCTGTTGGGTAATTCCGGATGCGGGCCTCACTTGTCATGGCTCCCCTCCATTTTAATTTGCGAGTAGCCGACAGTCGAGTGGAGGAGTCTGGGAATGACCACCTACTCTCCCTCCTTTTGGTTTCTTTGCTACTTTTGGTTTTTGTTTGTTTGGTTTTAGCAATAGGGTATGCCCCACCAAAGACAGAAAAGGAAGGGGGAGGTGACAAAGCACCTCCTGCAGGTTCGAGTTCCGGACTTGGCAGCTTAAAAATCACACCAGGCACATGTGCAGGTGTGACCAAAATCCCAAGAGAAGAATGGAGGAGGAGGGATTGAGACATGGCCATCCTCCCAGGGAAGGGTCGGTGCGAGGGGTGATTTCTTACTTTCTCTCTGTCTGTGTCTCTCTGTCTCTCCAGCAAGTACCTGTGTCCTATGTCAAAAAAAAAAAAAAAAAAAAAATTCCCTAAATGTCAGTATTAATAGCATTGAATCTTGGGCACCTTCTTATATCAGTACATAGATCTGCCTTATCTTTAATCATTTTATAATACTTGTATCCAGCCTTCTGCTGGGAATTTAACTTTTTTAATTTTTGCTATTTTGTGTGTGTGTGTACACATATACTTTAACAATTGTCTACTTAGATGGTGAATTGCTTTCTGCATTGACCTGAGTCAAGATTCAGAAGTATGTGGCTGTTTATAATTTAATTTCTTTTAGATATAGGAGAAACTGTTTTCTAATTTCTGACAAAAAAGTAGTGTATTGTTGTAGACTGTTGTGAAGTATAGAAATAGGTAAGCAAATAAGAGATCTCCTTATTAATAGAACCTCAGAATCAGTTTCACGTTTTGCTGTAACAATACCTGGAAACTTTTACCCCCCTAGTTGTAGTGACGTAATTATAGAATGCATTTTAATATAACAGCACATGTACTGATGAGATTCTTTTGTACACCGTATCTCCTGAGCATGTTACCTAAATGTCATTTATTGATTCTCCTTTTTAAAGAGGGGCATACATGGGGACCAGCATTGATACAGTAGTTACACTGCTGGACTCCCATGTAGTCGACCGCAGTTCAAGTCGCAGACCCAGTGGTTTGAAACTTACCCCAGGCATGTGTGGCTAAGATCCCGAGAGGAGAATGGAGAAGAAGGGATTGTGGCATGGCCATCGCCCTGGGGGGTGATTTCTTGCTTTCTCTCCACCTAGCACACATGCCTTACTAGCAAAAATATCTCTCTAAAAGAAAGAGATGAATACATAGGAGCCAGCAGGTGGTGTGGTGGCTAAGGTGCTGTACTCCCATACGGCCAGCCACGGTTCGAGTCCTGGACCTAGCAGCTTAAAACTCACACCAGGCACATGTATATGCATGCCCAAAATCTCAAGAGGAAAATTGAGAAGAGGGGATCGCAGCATGGCCATTCCCCTTCAGGAGTGATTTCTCACTTTGTCTCTCTCTCTGGCAAGTGCATACGCCCCATAGCAAAAATCTCTCTTTAAAATAACGAGAGATGCATACGTAAACATCTACATAATTAAGACTTTAGGAAAGGGCCAGCTCCATGGCAGAGCAGTAACGCACACTGCTCAGGAGAAGCTTGATCCCACATGGTGACCACAGTTCAGACCTCCAGCCTGTTCAGCCTGACACAAGCCCGGCTCACACCTTAATAGCCAAGGTTTGGTGGCTGGAGGTGGGGGGGGGGTCGCAGTGTGACCGGACCTTGTGGAGGGCGCTCTTCGCTCTCCCCTTCTCTCTGCCCCCCTCCCTCCCTCTCAAGTACGTGCATTCTGTCATGAGTAAAGGCAATGAGTTTTTATGAAAAGACTTGATGGTGAGTAAAGTCTTACCTCTGCTCCCAGGCTTCCCTCCCTGTTTGTTCCCATACTCTTTTCCTGTAGTTAGTCATGATTTCTACCAAATTGAGTCCTTTTTAAGTCCCCCTACTTTTTTCTTTCTTTTTAAAAATTTGTCATTAGGTACATGTGCTTGCTAGAGAGTATGTGAAAGCATTCCCCCAGGGGAGATGGTCACGTGCAGTCTCTTCTCCATTCTCCTCTCGGGATTTTGGGTGCATACACACATGTGCCTGGCATGTTTCTCTTCCTTTTTTTTTTTTTTTTTTTTTTTTAAGAATTATTTTTTTTAATTTTATTTTTTTTTCTTTTTTTTTTTTTTTTTTTTGTTTGCTATAGGGTGTGTGCGCTTGCCAGACAGAGAGACAGAGAGACAGAAAGCGAGAAATCGCCCCCCGGGGGGATGGCCACGCCGCAATCCCTTCTCTTCCATTCTCCTCTCGGGATCTTGGGCACGCACACACATGCGCCCGGCGTGAGTTTAAGCCACTAGGTCTGGGACTCGACTACATGGGAGTCCAGCGACATAACCATTATGCTAACTGCTGGTCCCTAACTTTATTTATTTTTAATTTGACCAACATGTGAGAGAGAGAGACTGAAAGTGAGAAAGCAAGCCACCAGGTCTGGGACTGCAATCACAGTCAGCCATGTGGGATTCCAGGCCCCTTACCCACCATGCCACCTGCTGGCCCCCAGTGTGTTTCTTAAGCCACCCAGTCCAGTATTCAGACTGCATAGTCGGCCATGTGGGATCCAGCTGCTTTAACCACCACACCATCACCTGACCCCGCCCCTACTTACACCCCCATGATGGGAGGCCATCCAGGATGACAGGCGTGAGTGTGCACATCCAGTCTGCACAGGAGACCTACGGGTGCAAACCTGGGACCCTTCCACATTGCCCTGGCATCACAGGGCATCGTGTGACCGCCGTGCGCTGTGGGTGGCTTTAGCTTATGTTCTTTGGATTAAGGTCAGTTTATTCAGGTAGTAACTGACAGCACTAAAATGTGGGAAATCCAATTTGAAAGGTAGATATATAGTGGGTGACTATAATGAAGCGGAGCAAGGTTAGAAATAGAACAAAGTGGGGAAATGGGAGTGGACGATGCTAGAATGAGCAGTAGTATCATGTCACATTTGCAGCTAGACCTCCTAGGGGTTCAGTCCACAGCCCAAACGCTTGCTGTTTGGTCTTCAAACAAGCTACAAGACTTAATCTCTCTGGGCCTCGGGTTTTCATTTAACAAACAGGATTAGTAATGGCACCTGCACGACAGGGTTGTCTGAGTGTCCATACTGTTGGCACGAGTTTCTGAGATCTCCAGACTGAAGCTTGTTAATGTATCTTGGAGCTCTTGCCAAAGCTACAGTTACAGAGAGTAACTCTATGGTGTCCCCTTTTAGGAATGACCCATACATGTCTTTAGCCAGTCTCATATCGGTCATTGACATTGATATGAGTTGTCAGTCACTGTGCAATAAACCGCCACAAAACTCGGGCTTGCCATAACAACAGCGTGTGTGTTCACGAGTCCGTCGAGCTGGTCCACGGGGTGACACGCTGAGCCCGCCTGGTTCTGTGCTCTGCAGTCACCTGCGCAGCTCAGGTACGGCGGTCTGAGGTGGCAGCCTGCGGTCGGTTCTCCAGGCAGCTGCTTCTGTCCTGCAGTGGACCAGACTGGGCTGCTTCTCATGGTGGCAGGATACAGAGAGGAGCAGGAGCTGCAGGCCGTGAGCCCAGGTTTCAGAGCCACCGCACTCGTGCCGTATTCTGAGTTGAAGCAAGTCACACAGTCAGCCCGGGCTCATGTGGCCAGGGTACAGAGTCTCCATTGATGGGAGGGCCTGCGAAGAATCCGTGCCATGTCTAACCTGCAACTAAGTTATTTCTGTTTTTTTTCACTGTCAACTTCATACATTCATTCATTAAATAAATAGATTTGAGTATCTGTTCTGTGCTAAGAAGTCTTCTGTGGCTCTGGATATAGAACCAGCAGTGAGAGAGAGATTGAAAACCTTGGGACCGGGGCCGGCAGATAGTGTGGTGGTTAACGATGTGGTACTCCCACATGGCTGACCGCAGTTCGAGTCCCGACCTGGTGGCTTGCTTTCTCACTTGTCCTCTTTCTCTCTCTCTCTCTCGCTCTGTCCATCTCTGGTCAGATTTTAAAAACATAAGTAAATAAAGTTAAAAAAAAAAATTCTTAAAAAAAAAAAAAAACTTGCGACTAGCAGATGGCATAATGGTTACGTCGCTGGACTCCCACAATAGTCGACCGTGGTTTGAGTCCTAGACCCAGCAGCCTAAAACACGCCGGGCACGTGTTCATGTGTACCCAAAATCCCACAAGGAGAATGGAGATGGATTGTGGTGTGACCATCCTCCCTGGGATTGATTTCTTGCCTTCTGTCTCCCTGGCAGCCACACATACCCTATCGCAAAAATCTCTCTCTCCAAAAACAATAAATGAATAACCTGCCTCAGAGAACTGATGGTCTAGATTTATATGAGAATGACATAAGACAGTGAACAGAAGACCTTCAGGAACTCAAGAGAGTCAACCCTCAAGCTGAAACACTGGCACTTCTAGGTCTAGTAATGACAGTTCAAAGAAAAGGACATGGGATGTCTCATAAATATAGGAAAAGAGGGACCAGCAATTGGCGTAATGTCTACGTTGCTGGACTCCCATGTAGTCAACCACGGTTCGAGTCCTGGACCTGGTGGCTTAAACTCATGCCAGGCACGTGTGCGTGTGTGCCCAAGAGCCCGAGAGGAGAATGGAGGAGAAGGGATTGCGGCGTGGCCATACCCCCTGCAGGTGTTTTTTTGCTTTCTATCTTTCTGTCTGTCTCTTTCTGGTGAGCACATGCACCCTACAGCAAAAACGTCTCAAAAAAAAAAAAATTTTATATATGTAGGAGAAGGTACTCATTATAGGAGGAGACTATTGGAAGCTCAGTAGTCCCCTTTCCCTGTCACAGTGACAGACATCAGAAAGGGATAGCTTAGTGGCCAGGCTGTGGGGAGCGGATGTTCT